GTTCAAACTGCAGACATGCTCCCTGTCCTGTCCCAGTTCAAACTGCAGACATGGTCACTGTCCTGTCCCAGTTCAAACTGCAGACATGCTCCCTGCCCTGTCCCAGTTCAAACTGCAGGCATGCTCCCTGCCCTGTCCCAGTTCAAACTGCAGACATGCTCCCTGTCCTGTCCTACACAAGGTGAGCCAGACTGCCTGAAGTGCACGTGAGCTCCGAGATCCACCTGGTCCCTGTTACACCACAGTGTTCAAGCTGAAACAGTGCTCTGGGTTCAAGACTGTAATCTCCTGCTGTGGTTTCTTGCCCCAGATATGAGTGTATCCCTCGGTGTTATCACTCTGGACAATGACAGTGTTTGTCCCTGTGTCTCCATGACTCAGTAAATGCGAGTGTGGAGTTTTAATGAGTAACATCCTGGCTGTCAGAGCAGCAGCTCTTTGCCCATTCATTCATTTTCTCGTGGCGTGGTTACACTCACAGCAGCTGGAAAGAGCTGCCATTTCATTCTGGAACTCAACCTGCCCCATAAATCTTCTTCCTTTCAAACTGAAGAGTTTCCCCTGCCCAGAGCTCTTAGCAAGTGAACTTGATTCCCGTGCCAGAAACAGCCTATCTCCATATGGGAATTGCATGCCTTTGACACTGTGTAAAGTCTTCTTGGAGTTACACAGGGAATAACATTATTTATAATTAGTGTTGCAGGAATGCAGACTGAGGAATCTAAGGGTGGAAGACCCAGCTTGTTTTTTGCAAAATCACTCTTTTCAATTTTAATATTTTGTCCAAGACCTTCCAGTGTGCACATGAATAGCACTGACATAGCTTGAAGTAAGTAGGAGGCAGGCAGAGCACAATGAAACGAGACTGACAAGGAAGACATTGTTTTGAGAGCAGAGTAAAATTTTAATGCTTTCACAGAAAAAAAGAATGAAAGAAAAAATAGGTGATAATGAAATCTGTAATGGTTTAGGAGTGCATCCTCAGGGAAGGAGAATAATAAATGTGAAAAGATTGTGGAGGTAAATGGGCATGTAGAGTTTCATCTGGAAATTAACTCCGTGAAAGTCAGTAACATTGGTTAAATTTTAACCAAAAGCAAAATGAGAATATAAAACATGATTTCTTAACTTGATTTTTAATCAAAGTTTCTGGAGATAAAATAACTTTAATTTTAGATCAACATCTGAAACAGAGAACAAGGATTTTTTAAGTGTCTGAGTGATGTCTGTTCACTAGTGAGCCATGTATAAAACTCATCTTTCAGAGATGCACGATTTTGCCTGAAATATCCTGAGTGAGTGTCAGCTATGAAGGCTCATGCTCCTAGAGATTCAATATTTAGTGTTTTAAGATTTCAGCCATATTGTGAATACCTGTTTATTTTCAGGGAAGTTCTGTTGCACTGTTTTAACTCAAGCAGATAAGGAAAAAGCAACCTTTGGCTTTTTTGAATATTAGGAATAATTAAAAAAAAAACAAATTCACAGGAAAGTGCTGCTCTACTTTCTCTGTTTTTAAAGGCCAATCATGTAAGCTGTCCAATGAAGTGTGATTTTATTGTTGTTGTTCTGAGAATGGAGCAAATGGTATTTTAATCTATTATTCAATTGATGCTTAATTCCTTATTACAGTTGGGGTGGGCCACATGACTTACGAATACAGCTGTGGGAAACATTGTAAGAAACTTTCTTGTTTTGGTTGAAATTGCCAATTTGTCAGGGATTTCAAAGAGATGGCTTGTGTTTGAAAACAGAGAGGCACCCTGGGAATCCAACAGAACTCCCGACAGGCTGTTGTTTGTTTGTTTGCTTGTCTGGGGCTAACATCTCTCCTCAGCAGAACCTGCAGGGCTAAGGGAGCTGGAAAGTCTCAGCTCCCACACTCTTGGGCCTGAAGTTCAGGTTTTAGAGGCTTCCAAAGCCCTGACAGTCAGACCACCCCAGAGCTGGGCAGGGAATGGAAATTCTGCTTCAGAGGGAATTTCAGCAACAAAAAAGCTACATATTCTTCCAAACTGGAACCAAATCAAATATCAAAACCTTCAAATATCCTGCCAAATAAAGTTACTGTCCTGAGCCTAACTTCTTGCTGTGACTTTAGAGTCTATTTTTGAATGATTTGTTCATGAATTTATCCTGGGTTTTGTTCCTATGCATTGAAATCTCAGAGCTGCTTTTGTCCAAGTGAGAACTGCACAGTCAGACCATCACTAATCACGGAATTGTGGAATCACAGAATGGTTTGGGTTGGAAGGGACCTGCGTGCAATCCAACAAATAGTAGTTGGGAATCTTGGGGAGTGTAGCTTGACAACCTCACCCCTGTGCAGAGATGCATAATCTGAGTCTATAATCTGAGTTCAAACAACGAAAATTGAGGGGGAAAAAAAGGGTAAATGCTCTTACTAGCAAAGAGAATGTGTTCAGGGTTGTTGGTCTGTAAGATGTATAAGATGGATATAATAGTGCATTTGTAGGGGGTTTCTCTTACAGAGCTCTAACATACCAGGTCATGCCTTTTAGGTGCCCCTGCTGTCCTATAAATAGAATCCATAAGCTTGGATTGTATTTGGGATAATTTCCCCATAGCAACTCAGGTAACAGTTATTCTCAGAGAAATCGGGTTGCCACAAAACACGTGGATATGTTTACATCCTTCTATGTGTAATCTGACTTGTTACTGTTTATTTTTTTCTCTGTTTCCCAGTGTCTCTAACAGAAAGTGACAGTGGAAAAGCCTCACCCACAAGCTTCACCCACAAAGCTACCCAACAAAGCAGAGTTACCCATAAAATCAGAGTGGAGAGAGATCTTCACTGGGCTCTGCATTCAGGGGCCAGTAGCAATAGGACTGGAGGAGTTTAAAGCCTCCTCATGCAGATTTTTTTTTCCTACAGAAAGGAGTTTCCAGTTTATTCACTGACACTGAGACAAAATGGAATGATTTTATGAGCAGTGGAACTAACAAAGCTGAGTTTCCTGTACACTTTTAATCTCCCTGCCCTGTAATATTCTTCTTTCCCTTGTTTTTCTTTGCCCCTTTCTTACAATACACTGTTTCTCCCTGGGACTTCCCTTGGTATCTTCATTTCTCCCCATCCTCTCCAGTTGTCCCCCAGAGCAATGCTCTGATCTTCGTCCCACACGCTGTACCTGCTGGTGCCAGAGGACACCTTGGTGATGTAACTGTGCTCCCACAGGAACCTCGTTCCCTCCAACTGGTTCAGGTGCTCACTGTCAGATTGCACTGCCTATTCCTGACCCCGTGTGCCATTTCTCTCCCCTTGCTCCCCCCATCCCAGCATGAGCCAGGAGCAGTGCTGCCGCAGCCAGCTGGAGAAGCAGTCCTGCTCCGACGGCGTGGAATTTGCCAACGTGCGCGAGGAGTGCGACTCACATGCTGCTGAAAATTCCACCTGCGAGGCCCAGCACTTCAAGGTGAGACTTCACAGCTGCTCCTGTTCATCCTCCAGAAGTGGTGTTCCCTGTGTGAAGGTCAGCAGACTCTGCTGCACGTGAACAGTTTTTCCCCACCTGCACCTCGTGTCTCTGCTAAGGCTGTTCGCTCTGTGCCTGTCTCTGGGAAGCGGTGTTCCCTGTTGAGGGAAGCAGTTGCCTGTTGAGGGGAGCAGTTCCCTGTTGATGGAAGCAGGCTGTCACATGGCATTGTAGCAGAGGCACAGGGGCGAGTGCAAAGGGGTGGAAAGTCTCGAATGGGTAATTGGCCAGGAAATTACTTGTGCATGAAAAGAAGACATTGGTGCTGCAGGGAGGGGTGGGTGAGAGGCTCAGCCGCCTTTCAGACTTCAGCTTTCATTAGAGCCCAAGGTCACACTCAGTGGTTTTCAACACTGGTGGTCCAAAGGGGTAGGACTGCACTTAATCCTTTCAGGGTACTTATAATTCCAGCTTGTGTAAGTGCCCTAAGTGAACATGACTTTGATTTGCAACTGGATGGAGACATCCAGCACCCTGTGATACCAGCACTTGACATCAGAATAAAAATGCCTGCCCTTGGCATCTTCAGTTAATCTGGGCCCTTGGTACTGTCTTTGTCTCTCATTGCTTGAAGGGAGCATAGTTACACCTCTCTGCAGAGTGTGTTTGGAAGGAAGTTCCACGAGCGAGATCAGGACCTTGCCCATGACCCAGTCCTGAACAGCTCTGGTCCTATTATGGGTTTCTTTCAGTGATGTTGAAAATAGATGAGACTGATTTGAGTTCTTCCTGCTGCTCAAAGATGCTGAATGTTTCATTCAGCCAAAACAAACCCCTTCCCTCTGAAAGATGGCAGGCAGTTGCTCAGCACTGCTGTCCCATGGCTGATGCCCTTTCCTGCAGCACACAGTGCAGGAGGGCTGGTGGGAACCCTGGCTGGGCTGGGCTGTGCTGACCCCAAAATATGCCTCAGCATTGCCTGAGGGGGTGGCAGTTGCCATTAGAGCTTGCTGATATTTAAACATCACAGATGACTGCGGGGCAATGCCCTGAGCCCACATTCTGTGCCAGTTTAATTTACTGGGATAAACATGGTCAGAGTTAATGAACCTTTGTGAGCCACGTTCTGCCCTCCCACTCCCTAACAGGAATATCCCACACTTAACAGCTTCCCTGAGGGGGCTGCAGGAGTAACGTTAAAGGTAACCCCTTTAATCCATGATGGACATAGATGACTTATGATCTAATATCAGTGAACAGTTCATCATTTCTTCTGTTAAACACATTTTGAATCTGATGACCTTGAGACACACGGTGTCTGGCACTTGTGCCCTGCTGTGGTAAACAAGCTTTTTACATTCACACCAAGCCTGTCTCTCATGGGCTTGAATCTCATTTTGCCTGAGTTGGTCCATTTTTATTTAGCTTAGGTCGCATAGAAAATCTTTTGGATCTTCTTTGTCTCCTTCAAGGAAGCAGAAAGAACGATTTAGTGATTCAATTAGTGGGATTAATCGCAGCACTTTGCAGCAAATGAGGCAGCTAATCTTTCCTTTGAATCCAAGACTAGGGATTGGAAAGAAGATAAAAAGACCATATTTTGAAAACATTTGCCTCAGCTTTTACAGTAAAGGCAGCAGGCACAGGTAATGATGGGCAGGATTTTCTCCTCTGCTTGTTTGGAAGCATAGCTTTTCCTGCCCTGGGAAAAAAAAGGGATGCAAAATGAATCATTAATCTTTAAAATCTTCATCAAATGACAGGGATCGATTTCCAGATTTGTTGCTGCTTCAGGAGATGTAGAAATGACTTTATGAAAGTTTCCACCCCAACAGCCCTGCAGAAAGGAGAAAAGCTTCTAGAAATTTGACCATCTTTAAGGTGCTTGGACATTTTCCCCAAAATTTGTCTTTAAGTACTTTTCAAAGACTGACATACATCTTTATCTTGCAAGTTTTTGAAGGACGCTTCAGTTGCATAAATTAGGTGAACACAAAAAATGTATTGCTTTGGACTGTTGAACATATTTTTAATTTTTGTTCAGCTCTTCAAAAGCTCTGAGAAATTCTGCTGAGTTATTTGTGGTTTTCCAGTCTGGTTTTCGTAGCATCTCCCTGTTATAATGTCTGGATTTCAGCAAGGGAGAGACCTCTTGTGGACAGATCCCAAAGGCAGCGTTAGCACAGGATTCACCCTTCCAGAGCTGCTGACTTATGTGGGAACATAAATAATAAGAACTATTTAAGTAATAAGAACTTTAACTAATCAAGAACTAAAGTTCAATAAAAACTTTAACTTATCAAGAGACCTTATTAATCAAAGTAATTTCAGGCGCTTCCTAATCACACCAAAAATAAATCTTCAGATTTCTCACATGTGGCTTTGTTCCTTTACTCCTTCCATCTTGATTCCTTCCTGTGAGAAGGCAGGCAAGGGACAATGGGATTTCAGGCAGGACACAGCTGTATATCCAAACACGAGGAGCAAGGCATGGCTTTGAAGCTGCATGGGATTTTTCTAATAATGGGGGGAAAAGTTTGACATTATTATTGGGACCACTTTGGAAGCAGAGGCTGGCAGGCAGTGGAAGGGTGTGATAACAACTCGACCTTAAAGTTGTCCCATCCACGAGGGCAGTGGTGGTTCTGGCAGATGGGTGATGCTCTTCCCAGCTGGCTTCCAGGCAGCTGGCAGGCTTTGGGAATCGGCTGCAAACACCTCCAGAACTGAACCAAAACAGAGTCTGGGGTCAATAGGAAAACAACCCAGTTACCATAAACAGCAGTTAAGAAAACATTTGGTGCTTTCCACCTCCGGATGGTTTTGGCTGTGGGACAGCAATGGCAATTATTGTCGTTATCAAGCTGCTAGACCAAGGCACCTCGTGCACAGTTAGAATAAATATAGGCTGGAACAAATGGTGCAGGGCACACAATTAGTTAATTGAAGATACAGTTTCTTGCAGATGTTGCAAGACTTAGCAAGCTCTGTGCTCAAAGTTTCACATCAGCTGGAGACTGAGGTCTTTCAAGTGGTGGCTCAACCTGAAAGAAATAAAGGCTATTCAACACTTCAAGAATGGCAAGATTAATGATCACTCCTTAAAAAAAAAATCCAGAGGAAGCCTGTAACTCCCAGTCTGAACCTCGTGTGACAAGACTAAGAAGTAGACTGAGTCAATTCATATGCCTAAGAGCAGAAGTCAGTGAGGATATCCAGAAGTATGTAATACCAAAATTTGGCAAGGCATCAGCTGTATTCAATAGCTTAAATAAGATCTGGTTATCAAAAATATGCAAGTTTAAGTCAAATAATGAATCTTCAGCTCACTTTTCATTTTTGTCTTCTGATTTATGGTGGTGAAAATTGAAAATCTAACAAAATTGTAGTCAGATGTTACAAACCTCGAGAAGGATGCCTCGGGGAATTGCTTGACGTGTTAGAATAAATATTGAGCAATGTTGCAATTCTTGGAAGAGATCATCAAGTATTTTTTTCTAAAGGCATCCAGAAAAGATGGAATAATCCCAGACATAACGGTGATAAAACTGGACCGTCTGCCACTGGATGGAAGTAGTTGGAGAACCAAGTAAAAAAAAATGGATGGTGAGGAACCATCCCACCAACCAAACCTCTGCTCTATTTAATGGTGCAGGTTATTTTCTTCAAGAAAAACAGAGTCTGGAAGAACAAAATTAATAATAAAAGCTTAATTTTGCTTTCACGTGACAGCAGCAATTGGCAGACACCAGTTGCAGAGAACTTTTGCTGCTTTCTAACAGTAAGGAAAAAACCAGAATAAATCAGCAGTATCTTCTCAACTGGAAATCCAAGGAAACCTCCATGGGATTCACTTGTCCTGTGCTCACTCCTGTGGTGTATTCCAGGGCTGTAGTTCAGCAGCTCTGCAAGAGGAGGGCCATGTGTTATTGCTGCAAGCCATGGCAGGACTGTGATGCTCCTCATTAATGTTTGACTGTGCTTTTCAGAGCAAAATAGCTTCTCTGTGTGACCTGGTAACACTAACCTTGGTCAGGGCTATGATTTGACTTTGTTAATTTTTTTTTGAACAGACGTGCTGTTACTGTTGTTTGCTGGGAAAGGCCGCCCAAGTTCAAGGACAGAGTTGTGACCCCAACCCGAAGATGGGACACCAGTGTGGAATTGTCTTTAGATCCTGCTGTGGGAAAGGTCCAGAAGGCATTGATCTGTCCATCAGCGATGATGCTCCCAAAAACCAGCAAGGTATTTTACTGCAGACTTTAAAAGAGTGAGACACAAAATGATACAGGGTACAAGGAGTATTAAATTATTTCTTTAAATTATTTCTGTTGAAATTCTTCTAAGGTGACATCTCATCTGAGTAATTTAATGGTGCATGTTTTGGAGCTCATTATTTTGGGTAGTGAAAGCTGAAATGCTGTTGTTGGAAGTAAGAGGCTAAAAGAGCTGGCAAGTGGTCACTTAGTTCCTGGTGTCAGAAACTTAAATGTAACATAGCTTATTTTGGCAACTAATGATCTTGTCTTGGAAGCTGAGTATAAGATATTAATTTTTAATGGAATCTTACCCACTGAGAAATGCTTGAATGCTGGTAGATCCCTTGTCCTCAGACCACTCTGCTAGTGACAAAAATTTGCATATTCAGTGTACCTGGATGACATGAGAAATATGTCAGCACCTTCCTTTGGGCAAGCAGTGGGTTCAGGCAGGGGGTGTGTTCAGCCCTTCCATGTCCTCCCTGTGGACAGAACAAACTCTGCACGTGGCACCACTGAGCAAAACTCTTCAGGTTAAGGTATACAAGTATATTTGAAAGAATGCCATAAGTAGGTGCCCAAAAGGTGGGTGTGGAGTTCTTTCTGGAATGAAGTCTAAATAATGAAAATCAGATTAACCTCAGTTATTTTAATCTGTGAGTACCCCAAGCTACTGTAAAGTCGGTGGAAGCCAAGCATGCCTCAACAACATGTCTTATGAAAATGAGGTGAAGCTCTGGTTCAAAGCCTGATGCTAAGAACCTGCATTTGAGAATCTCAGTCCACATGTAATCTGTGATCACAGCATGGCTTTCACATTGAATCAGTCAGATGGAAAATGCCCCATGGCCATGTACATTTGAATGTCAAATTTAAGTATGAAATAGCTGTAAAATATGTAAATAACGGTCTTTAATTTTGTCCTGGTTTATCCAAAACCCTGGTCTGAGTCCCATCCCAAGAATACAGCATTTTACCTTGAGAAGAAAAGTGCCTTCTCCTCTAATGCCTATCTCCTCTCTTTTTAGTTGAGATTTCAAAGGAGGAATTAGACCAAGAAGATCCTTATCTGCACGATGGCTGCAGAGGTAAGTCAGGTGCCTAGTCCTCTTAGCCAGCTCCCTTGTGATTGCCTTCAATAAAAGTGAAGCCAGCTTAGATCTAGAGATTAACCAAAACCTTTTGCCTAAGCTAGTTAGGGGTAAAAATAACAGAAGGAAGAACCTTTCCTAGAAATAGTGGGCCATTATGTGATGCCTCAGTAGTTCCTAAATACAAGGAAGGCATTGTATTCTGCAGTGGAGTTCATCTTACCCAACTGAAGCTGAGACTATACATTTAACTTTTATTTAACTTTTAGTGGGTGATACTTCAGAGGTGTCACCCTTGAACCTGTGGAGTCCTCTGGGTTCTTCAGGACATGGGATCCTATATTAAATATGTGCATTTTTTATTCTCCTCCTGGGATGATCTGGGTGTTTGAATACGAAATGAAACTTGTTTCCTTTTGAGGTGCATCACCTAAAGGAAAGGAAGAAAAGTGGCTACTGTCCTCATTAATCCTGCTATTCTGCCTCCTGGGAAGGATGTGTATTTGGGATATTGTTCTGCTAAGCATTCTGATTTATTGCTTGTCACACGTGATTTACATGTCTATAAACATACAGCAGCAGCGATTCACTATTTTCTGCCAGCATTTCAGAAGTCAGTGATGTATTTAGGATAAAATCAATTTAATAGACTGATACTCCAGTTGAGAGGTGATTTACTGTGCTCCGTGTTCTACAGCTGTTACACTCTGGGGAGAGTGCAAATGTCTCCATTAGCAAAGCAGAGCCAACACTGCCTCTGCTGCTCGTCTCCAGCTGCTAATTACAGGAGATGACACAGAAAAATGTGTTACATATTTCCCTGGCATTATTTCTCCATGTAAGCAGTTGTTGTATTTGTCAGTTAATCAGCTGCCTGCAAGAGATGGATTGCTATGGCTAATTGCAAATCAGGAGAGTTGTGCCTACAGCCTATTTTCTGTGGTGGATTAATGGCCCTGTCCTCATTAGAAACAGTTACACTTACAAAAATTATTTTATAAAGTATTTATAAAGTAGTATAGTTGCATTTGCTCACATGGATTGTGCCCATCTCAAACCTCTTATTTAATGCCTCTTCAACCATTCTGAAAAACGCTTCTGGGGGGTTTTTTTATTCTGTACTGAGAATATCAACACTCTTACCAGGAACAGCTGGAAATATATAACCTTTTCTCTATTTTGAGGATATTAAACATGTTTAATACTAATTTATCTTTAAACAAGATCAGAAAAAGGGAGTTTTCTTAATGATGAGCCAAATTTTGTGTAAATTTCCTATTTTATTCTCTTTCTGTCTGCCAGAATAACCCTTCTTGTATTATTTTTTTAAAGCTTCCAATGCTTAGCCCCTTCCTTCCTTTGTATATGTGTGTTCAGTTAACTGCTTTTCTAAACAAATCATCAAGTATGCTGTAAATTAATGGTTTGTTCCAGCTGCTGTGAAGAGCCTATTCATTACATAAGACTGTTTCAAATACCCATTAGGTGGTGGGCCCTGCTCTCAGCAGTGCAGAGACACAGGATCCAGCTACGTGTGCTCCTGCTTCGTGGGTTATCAGCTCCAACCAGACGGGATCACCTGTGAAGGTAACAGACACCAAACAAGTGCCTTGGGTACCAACAGTCTTGTTTTAAAAGGGCGAGAATAGATCAGAACATACCCAGGCAGAAGAGATCAGAATATGCTTATGCCAGCTGAGGAAAGAGGTGAGACCAGAAAAAGGTGGTTTGGAGTGTTGAAGTGGGAATTGTGGGAAGTCGAAGTTAAGAAAGAATCAGTAGAAAAGGCGGAGGATTTAGAGTGGGGAGGAGGCAGATCTTGAATTTATTGTTGTGGATAAAACCAAAATAAAATACCTGTTCTCTGCTGTAGAAGAAGATAGTAATTGATAAGTCATGTACAGCTGCTCTGGGAGGAAAAATGTTATTCATCAGGAGTGCCTTTTTCTGTCACTGACTGAAAATGGAGCCTAAATAGCTCATATACAAACTTCAGAGTACAAAATAGATATTGATGATTGGTCAGATTAACACTGAAATAATGCTAAATATAAAAAGGAAGAACTTTTACATTTGCTACACGTGGATGTCAAATTTTCTTATGCATTCAAAGATATAAAATGCCCCAAAGAAATGTCTATCAGCAGCTGTAAAGTAGGAGGTTGGAACTCGTGGCTCGGGGAGTGCCTCAGCCATATGTCGGTACCAGGCAGAGCAAGGGAAGGATTTCTGCAAGTTTGCCTCATTGATATGGGCACTATAACCAAACCATAGAATCATTCAGTGTGGAAAGTCTGGTTGTGGAGTCCAACATTAACCAAACAGTGCCAACGGGAGCAGCAGCCCATGGATGCACAGCCCACCTGTGGCACCCTCAGACACACCTGGGACACACCAACAGTGCCAACGGGAGCAGCAGCCCATGGATGCACAGCCCACCTGTGGCACCCTCAGACACACCTGGGACATTGTCTGCGCTGGGTTCAACCAGATGGTGCTGCCTTTGACCTCATCCCTTCCCAGAGATGCTTCTTATTTACTCTCTCTTTTGTTGTTTTGAATCCCTTTGCATGCTCCAGACATCAATGAGTGCATCACTGGGACACACAGCTGTGGGCTTGGCCAAACCTGTGTCAACACCTTGGGATCCTTCCGCTGCCAGCGGGACACCAGCTGTGGGACCGGCTACGAGCTGACAGATGACAGTCGCTGCAAAGGTATGTCCTGGGCAGGAGCCTGGAATCCTCCAAACAACAAGGGGCTAAAAGCACTGTTCTTCACTAGCCAGGTTTGAACGCAAGAGTAACAGTCTCCTTTGCTAAAAAAATGGCTGATTTCCAGGTGTGTCTGGCTCAAAGGATGCTGTTACCTGCATCCATAACTTCACCTGACACGCTGCCTTTACAGAGATAAATCAGCAGCAAACTCCATTTGATGTGGAATTGGTTTTTACTGTGAGAAAATCTGTCCCTGCTGAGTTTAGAACAGTTTATAAATAAACTAATTTCGTTCCACTGAGTAAATTAACTCAACCAAAATCCTGGGTAAGGTTTTACTGTAGGAACTGATCAGTAAAGAAAAATAGATTGGATAAAAAAGCTGGTGGACAAACTCCAACTGCAAAACCTGCAGAACATCAAGCAATGCTTTTCAGAGTATTGTGGTTTAACTGTGATCCCTTCAAAGTAACATTTCTGCTGATTTAAGTGACATCAGATTTAGGCCAACAAATAGCTTACTGGCAGGTATTGACAGTCTTTTCTGATGGAAAAAAAGGAGTACAGATACTAAATCATGCATGCCATTAACCTTAGAGAGTTCTTATCTGCATAAGATAATGTTAATAATGTTAATTATTAATGTGACGTTAATAAGGGTAAAAATAAAAAGTGAATAATCTTCACATACAGTGTTTAAATGCCAAGCAACATGACTGAGATCTGCTGCATGTAGAACTCTGCTGAACCCAGTTCAGTATTAACCCGTCCTGAACTTAAAAGGGGCTCCACGGCCATTAACTAAGTCTCACAAAGCTCTAGGCTAAGCAGTTCCATCTGCACTTGTGTCAACTGCATGACTGGGAAAGCTGAGGCATCCAATGGCCAGAGAGCTTCTGTATTTTAATAGCTTTAGGAGATCTCATTCCACTGCCAGGTGGCAAACATGAAATTTTAGTTGCTTTTATGTGGACAGGGCTGCATTTGTGAATAAAGCCTTATTAGCCCTCGTCTGCTTTATGTGCTTCATCTGAACCACAATTTATTCACGAATATTTATTGTCTATTCTGAACTGGAATGAAATATTGAAGTTAGCATAACCCATGTTTATGTGCATTTTAAAGCACAATAACGCAAGGATGTTGCAAACCTTAATATGGTTGAGAATGAAGGCAAATTAATTCACTTACAAAAGAAATTAACAAAGTCTGCATTGGATCTGAGGTTAGAATTAAAATTGCACTTGGATAATTAAATCTTACCGACTTCAGAGCTAAGCACAGGGCTGGATCCAGGCTGAGCACTGCTGAACGTGATGCTTCAGGTGCTCTGCAAGAGTTTGGAATCATTCAGTTGTGAGAACTAACCCCGTAAAGCATAATATGCACAGACACACCCCTAGATATAAAAACAATAGGAAAATAGTAAAAGCCCCTGAAGTTACCCTCCCTGAGATCCTGGCTGAGGTAGCAGGTCAGATTGCTCCTGGTCACCGCAGTGCACTGCGGGAAGGGACGCTGGGCATTCGTCTGTCGGGTGTTTATAACTGTGTCTTGTGTTTGAACTGTGATGGATGAAACCCTTGCCACACCCCTGCTAACAGTTTTTTTTTGTGACGTACCAGATATTGACGAGTGTGAGACTGGTACTCATAACTGCCCCCCCGATTTTATCTGTCAGAATACTCCAGGATCCTTCCGTTGCCGACCCAAGCTACAGTGCATGAGTGGCTTTATACAAGATGCGCTCGGCAACTGTATCGGTAAGGCTTGTTCTGGGCTCGGGGAACACCCCAGTGCCGCCTGGGAGACAAGCTGGAGTTTCACTGCATGATTTCTGAGCTTCTCAAGCCCTTCTTCATCTGTGCAGTGCTCTGCTCTGGGGTTTTTCTGCTCCTTTTCACAGGGAAGATGTACAGATGAAATAAAAGACTTAAATACCAGATTGCCGTTTTTAGTGAGATTAGGTTACCTGAGGCACGTAGCTGCATTTGAACACTTTCCTTAAGTCTTTGGGTATTTTATCTGAAACAAAATTTGTGATGTATTTTGTCTACCTCTATCCAAAAGGTTTTAGCCGAAGCTTAGTGTAAAAAGCTTTAATTATGACATCCTCCGTTACACCCTTTCTCTGTGTGGTTTTATGGGTATGTAGGTCCTTCCAGACCTGTCCCTTGTTGCAGCCTATCAAGAACCTTACTGTGTATGTGTGTGATGGGCCAGTTATAACACACCGTGGAGAGGAGTTTAGTTTAAAGACTGATGACAATCTGTCAGGCTAATGCCTTGTTTCCAAGACTCCCTGAAACAGAATTATAACCTTTATAGAAATACTTAAGAATTACTGGTTTCCAGCAGACTCTAAATGGTATTGTCTAATGTGACCTGAAAATCTACCGGTTATTCCCTGGAGTAGGATTTTCAAGTCTCAACTTACCTTTGGATTCCCCCATCGGCGCAGCAGGTCTCGGACTTGTGGAACTGGCTGAGCGGCAGCAGCTGCCAAGTCGAGCTCCCTGTCAGCCCCTCGTTGTCCTGACCATATCATACCCTGTGGTGTGAAATCTGACACTGAAAACGGAATTGCAGCCTTTAAAATGGGGGGGCCAGTGCCTGTGCACAGCAAGCCCTTTGAGGACACGTGCCTGCCACAGGCAGCCCTGGGTCAGCGGCAGCTCAGGGTTAACTCGCTGTCACAGATGTCAGCAAAGCCAAAGCAATTGGTAGCAGTTATGGCCCCTAAAAGGCATTCCCTCAAAATATTTACCAAAACAGTTTCACAGGTGAATTTTACACGATGGGAATCAAATGCTGCCCTGTGCAGTGTTAAGGGAATTTTGTTGTTGGATTTGTGATCTTTGTGTAGAAGCTGAGAGCTGGATCAGAACCCACAGACTGAAGCAGAACGGGTTAAACTGGTGAGCTGAATTGTTTGTCAGCTCTTTGTATGCTTAGGAGAGGCTTTGAAACATATACAAGTACTATACCCTATTTTCACTGCTTTTCAGTGGGGTCTGTACCTCTCACACCTGCCCAGTCTTCGCCCTGGAAGCGTTGCATTGGTGAAGCTGAAGGGCCTGAATAATTGTATTGTGCCATGGGCAGATCTTGTCTCTGAAGGGTTACATGGGGATGTAAACCTCTGAAGGGTTACATAGTGAAAGCATCTTGTGCTCTTGCAGATATCAACGAGTGCCTGAGCACCAACACGCCCTGCCCGGCTGGGCAGATCTGTATTAACACTGACGGCTCCTTCACCTGCCAGCGAATCTCACCCAGCTGTGGCCGAGGGTACCACCTCAACGAGGATGGAACGAGATGTGTAGGTGAGGAACAGTTTGCAAGAAAAAGTAGCTTTAAGAAAACAACTTGCATCTGTCATTTATCTTTAGCAGTCTCTTGCACTTTGCTCAAGCTCCTCTTGTTCCCACAGTCAGTTCTTGATCCTGTTCTTTCCCTCGTGGCAGCCCCAACAAGTGAAGGATGACAAGCATCCTCTCCATCCTTCATATACCTCATGGAACCCTATATTCTGAGGAGAGGAGAAATGATAATCACCCCCCAAAAAGGGCATTGTCTGTGACTGTATGAGTGTATTGGAACAATACTGTGTGGTCCCAAATCTCCTCAGTACACAAGACCCACTTCATGCCCCACAGAAGCCATTTGAATAATGTTGAAAGACATATATATGGCTTTGGCTGGCTTTCAGCTGAGGTGGCTTTTGCAAAGAGGTGTATTTTTGCATGTGTTTTCAGTTTTTGTAAGTGGCTTGTCAAAGTACTACCTACTGACTGTGGGCCTGTGACATCTTACCCTAGATGAAGATCTGATCCCTGAGTACTGAATATGCTTAACAAAACAATTTTGCACCTGATTGCCTCCAAAGGTTGCCTGACTTCCTGGTCTTTTCCCTCCCAAGTCCATCAACGTTAAGGACACCTGACAGATAACCTGCCTTGGTATGAACAGTTTGCATTTGTGACTCCGATCTTGTAGAAGCTGAGAGTCTGATAAAATCTTGTTCGCTGATTCAAAACACTTCATAAGTACTCGGGGACACAGAAATAAGTTGACACGTTGCTCTTCTCTCCACTCTCATGCTCAGAAGTGTATGCTGAGTCACTGCTCTGTCTGTTTTAGATGTGGATGAGTGCTCATCCCCCAACCAGCCCTGTGGGGAGGGACACGTGTGTATCAATGCCCCGGGCAATTACCGCTGCGAGTGCAAGGCTGGCTACACCTTTGATGTCATCAGCAGGACCTGCATTGGTGAGTTAAAGACCTGCAGCCAAGGCACTTCAAACATGAGCCTGCGTGAGGAATGTTAGTGCTCTCTGCATAACCTCCGTCATCCGAATGTAAAATTCACTACTGTGTTATTTGGATAAATCTAATAACATATTAGAGGCTTGCTGATACTTCAAAGGAAGCTGTATGGGTATTGTCAACATGTTATCTGTCATCCCATTAAAAGGTAAGATTGTGAGAGTGTGTGTAATTGTTTTCTGTGATATTTTTATATGCACCTACAGCAAAACATTCCTTTGGAAGATCAAAGCAGCTCTCTTCTGTGTATAGATCTAATCCAATTATGCACTGGGGTGTTTCGAAGTGAGCATTTTGAGGACTTCTTCCCTCTCTAGTGCGGAATTTAAATCTGGAAAATAAAACCCAAACTTTTATGGCTACTTTCTTGCCCAGGCTGCTGTTGCAGTGAGGGCAGCTGCTCCACAGAGCTCTCTGTGCTTGTCATTGCAGATATCAACGAATGTAGACGCTACCCAGGCCGCCTCTGTGCTCACAAGTGTGAGAACACTCCTGGCTCCTACTACTGCACTTGCACCATGGGATTCAAACTTTCAGCTGACGGGAGATCGTGTGAAGGTACGGCTGTCAGTGCCCTGGCTGTGTGGTGTGAGAAACAGCTCGTTGCTCTTCAGCTGTTTCTGTTTGATTTTTAGCTTGCAAGGCCACTGGAATGGTGTGACAAACCGACCCACTGCAGTCTCTGCTGTTATGATTTCAAAGTTTTGTGTGAGTCCAGTGTCAGGAGCGCTGAATACAGCGAGAAATTCAGGGTTCAGGTGCCTTAACTTTGCGTTTCAGATTTAAATGAGTGTGAGAGCAACCCCTGCAGCCAAGAGTGTGCCAACGTGTACGGCTCCTACCAGTGTTACTGCCGCCGGGGCTTCCAGCTCAGCGACATCGACGGCATCTCCTGCGAAGGTGAGGGACGGGCAGCGTTTCTCGCTGCCACCATCACAAACGGGAGCCCCTCCGTGCAATTGTTTCATTTTAATGTTTGGTTCTTTGTGGTATTTTCTCGTGAACTGTATTTAGGGAAGGTCTCCCTCCCGTGCCCTTGTCTAGGGACATCTCAGTGCTTCTGTGGTGTTTTGATGTTTACACGAATCGGAGCTTGAAATGTTTTTGTAACTCGACAGAAATTTATTTTGTCTGAGGAACTAGCAGGACTTCTAGTCTTCAGCAAGTGAGGATATGAACATGTTACATAGGTAATATATAATATTACTAGGTAGTATTTTATATATCCTCTTTTTGTGGCTCGTTCTGTGGCTCTGAACTAATGTGTGAGTAGGTTCTCCTCAAATACAAGGAGGATGGGGTGTGACCTCATGGACAAGATCCTGAATTTGGACTTAGGTCTACAGGACTTATTGGGCAGTGACACCTTGGGCAGAACACCTAATTTTGATTTCCTTTTTTGTAATAACAAGGATGAAACTATTCCTCTCCCTCCCTTTTGTAAAGCACAGTGATACACATCACTGTAAAGTGCTTGCTCTTGTCCATTACTTTGTCCCTTGGGCCCTCATGCTGCTTTTAATTTTCTCCAGACCTCCATTTATTCCTGCAAGTCTTTGCTATTTAGACTTTACTGACTAGAGCCACACCTATCTGATGATCTGCTTTGCCCAGCAGTCAGAATCATCACACTGTGTTTGAGGCTCTCAGCGGGAGCCCCGTCCGTGTGCACCGGGTTGGATGCCATGAACACACAGGAAATCAGTGTTTTCTCCTTGCAGACATCGATGAGTGTGCTCTGCCCACCGGAGGGCACATCTGTTCCTTTCGGTGCATCAACATTCCTGGGAGCTTCCAGTGCACTTGTCCCTCCTCTGGCTACAGGCTGGCACCCAATGCACGCAACTGCCAAGGTGAGCTCAGGGACACCTCGCTGCACTGTGGGCTTTGAACAGTTCTGGAGAGTTTTTGTGTTTAAAAAAATGCCTTTCCTACAGCAGTACAGGTAAAGCAATAAACGACAGCCTGAAATCTGAAGAAACAAGTCTTCAATAATAAATATACAGGAAGTTTCCATTGTGAAGTACAGAATTCAGTAAAGAATACTTTTTATAATGTTATTAAATAATTATTAAAAAAAATCTGAAGATGAAGATTCAGGCTGCGAAGTGGTATGAGTTAGTTTAGCCGTTAAAAGGAAATATGCTGCTGTAAACACGTCAGCAGATGTTTAGGTCTCGTCCACTTAGTGGCACTGCTGCTCTTCCTTTTGCTCTTCTTGGTTGTTGGGTTAATTTTCTTCTTTTCTGTTGTTGCTGTCCTCCCCTTCCAGTCCTGCTCCAGTGTTTAAGTGCAGCCCACGCTCTGTAGTACCTGACAGGGCACTGTCATTGCCTGGCACCTGCCAGGAGAGGAAGGGCCTGTGTCTAACCCCTGCCCTGTTTCCCCTCGCAGACATCGATGAGTGTGTTGCAGAAAGCCACAACTGCTCTTTCAACGAGACCTGCTTTAACATCCAGGGCAGCTTCCGCTGCCTGTCCCTGGAATGCCCGGAGAATTACCGCAAGTCAGGAGACACGTAAGTGCCCTCTTCACCTTCTTCAGCTTCTTCACCTTCTCTGTCCAGGGCAAGCATTTGGTGGTGCCATGATCTCCTTTGTGTCCCACCACTACTGACTGAACACGGAACAGTTCCTGGCAAACACATGTTGTGTTGGCAGGCCTACCCTGTGCAGTGCACACACACGTCTGGTCTCCTTCTCCTGCTCCTGTTTCAGTCTAAGAAAAAGACAGTCCCTTAAAAAATGCCATGTGTCAGTGGTTTGCACTGTCATGGACTCCAGAGCCACAGGCAGATACTCTCTCCCTGGCTCCCTTGCTGGCAGCCTATTGGGAGGGTTGCATCCAGCTTCAAAATCCTTGAGATCTCCCACTAGACCAGGTTGCTCAAAGCCTGATCCAACCTGGCTTTGAACACTGCCAGAGTTGGGGCATCTAATTTTGTAAAATTGTGGGTTCATTTGTATCCTAATTAAAAAAAAAAAGTCACATGCAATGGGCCATGAGGTAGAAGTAGCAGATTCCTACTCTTATGGACATCCCTGAGTGGCAGAGTTCAGTTTATAAAACACACATAGTGCACATACATTCCATTTCATCTTCTCTCTCATCTCCATTGGGCTTTCATGGCTATTTGATCTGTGTGGGATCTTTTGGGGAAGCAATAGAATGTCTGAGTTGTTTTTCTGTGTCTGGGTTGTTGGGCTCTGTAATGGCTTACTCTGCCCAACTCAGACCTGCTCAGAGCGCGAGATCCTGCTGATGTGCTGGGACTATAATTAGGCCATGAGTCAGACACGAATCCTGCAGCTGCTCAGTGAACTTCTAATTATTTTAATTCCTTGAGTTATTATCTTGTTGGATTTATTAGGTTTTTCCCTCTCAGCATCTACAGACAGTTACTATTGTTGAAAACATGTTTGCATAAATGAAAGAGAATATGAGTCCATTATCTTTCCTGGAGAAGTGGGAGCATTCAGCAGGCAGTGGTTGCCCTCAGACCTAGCCAGGATACACCAATGTGCAGGAATCAGGGTTTGTGGATTGGGTTACCTGGTGCCCGGTGGGGAGTAGTTTCATGAGAGCTCTTTAGCACCCTTTTTTACATCCAAACTACTGTACATCTCCTTGGCTATTTAGTTTTAGCATACCTAACCAGCATGGTTATATATATGATATGTAGCTAGCATGTCTTTGTTACCTTCTGCATGATAATGACATTAAATTGCTTTTTCACTCACCCTTGTGTTGGGACTCCAAAATCGAAATAGTTGGTTTCTCATAACGTCACATCTAGTACAGTTACCATTTTCCTCTCCCTTTTATTCAAAATACATTCCAGTTTCACCAGCTTGGCACATCATAAGAGAGACAACGTATTCTCCACTCCCTTTCATCAAGTTGGCACCTCAGGAGATTTTTTTTTACCCTGTTCCCCATTATTTTCTTTAGTAGGTCTCAGTCCTGTAAATCCAAGTTTCCTTAGTCTTATTTTTCCTTAAAATCCTTGTGTACAGGCAAGAGCCCTCAGTGATCCAGAAGCTTCTTTACCCCCTACCTTCAAGGCAGAGGTTTTTGCATGGTGGCTGTTGAGTGGTGATGGCCATCAGGAGAGGTAACTGCAGGATTGTCCCATCCTACAGGCTGGAAGCTCAGGATGCTGTTTAGGCACTGAGCTCCAGGAGGAAACAACCTGTGTAACCTTCCCCAGAGACAGCAAAATGCCTGGCACGCTCTGATCCTTAATGGTAACGATTTAATTGAAGGCCTTATCTCTTTTACTTAAATTCTGCTTTTTGTTTTTTCGTGGATCAGCCTATAGGCTTGGTGTTTTTCCAAGGATAGTTAAGATCTACTGCTCCTCACAATGGGACTTAACTTGCTGCACTGCCTTGCCAAACAGTTTTTGTTTTCAAATTGCATAACAATTAAATTCTCTTTATGTGGCACTGAAGTCTTAACATTTGTAATATTTAAGCCAAGAAAAATAGTAGAAAATATAAAGAAGGGTTTATGGCAACGTGTCAGAAATGTGTGCTGGGCTGAGCCAAATTGGGAAATATTTGTATATTCTAGGCATGTCTGTGTATTATTAAAGTTGCCTGGTGCTTCTCATTACTAGGACCTGTCTGCAACTCCTTAAAATTCTGCCAAAACGTAACCAATGGCTGAAATTTTACCTGCCAGGTGTCTGACTCAGGCTCAAGTTTTGGCCAATTTCAGCCAAAGCAGCTCACTCATTTCCAAGAACAAGGGTAGGGAGGAACACATTGGTTTGTGTGTTTTAAGACATATTGGTGATTTTTCTTTTTCTTTTAAAAGTTTGGAGTAGAAATCTGACATTCCTTAGGAGACTGCTTTTGAATTTTTTGTCATCCTCACCAAAAACCTGTGATACCTCTGAAACTGCAAACTTTGTAAAATTGCATTTAGCCTTTTTTTTCATAAAACATACAAAATGAGGACCTTGACGGGTAAACCTAATCCACTCCTGTATGCCAAAAAATCTCAGACCTTCCTGGAATATTTCTGGGAGTTGTTTATTTAACTTCTGCTTCAAGTCCTTGAATGATAAGGATTTCATAGCCTCTGTAGCAATCTATCTGTCTCAGAGCAATTGAATTCTCCCTATCAGCAGAGAGGTGTTTTTCTTTTAGCAGCAAACCATTATGTTCTGACTTGGCAGACCCGAGCCCTTTCAGGCAGCCTGAGTCATGCAGGTCCAGCTCCCCAGAGTGCCTGAGCCACAGCACAGGAGCCCAGTTTTCCCCCTAATGTCAGCGTTGGTGGTTCTGTGATTCTGTGCCAGCAGGTTGTTGCATTCCCCTGTCATCTGATTTCCTGCTGCCCACTGAGGGAAGCATTTCAGTGAGGGCTGGAGAGTACCCTGGGGTTGAAATGCTCTCTGCTTCTCGCCTTTGCAGTGCGTGACCCCAGAATGAACCCTGGTTCTCCAGAGCAATAACATCTGCTGTCTCTCCTTTGTGGTTGTTTGATGGAACAATTAGAGCACATTAACTCAACCTGTAGTCAGTGTGTAGGGTGCACCACCAAAGCACGAGATAAAAGATGGTGAATTTTGAATAATTCTAGCTCCTGGCCACAGGCACATCTACCTTCACAAGGAGCTTTCTGAATCAGCAGAATGTCCTTTCTCGAGTCTTGGAGCCTTGGTTTTTTGTTCTCTTAAAAGATTCTGGCCATTATTATAAAACGTATTTTACTTCTGTAAAATAATAAGGCAGAGCATCTTTATGAGTGTGTAAGTGCTCATAAGCATGTCTATGTTTCCAAGAAGTTGTACTTGAAGAAAACTAAGGAATTAACTGTCTTGACTTGCTTCATGATTTCAGCAAAACCAAGTAGCCTCATGATTTCAACAAAACCAAACCATTCTCCTTGGTGGAGTTACTAGTGACATCTCAGAAAAGAATGCAGAACTCCCTATACCTGAAAATATTCCAGGAGTATCCACACCTAATTAGCTGGCCATCCTGTGAGGACTTGTGCAGCTCTTTACACACATGAATGAAATTAAGAATGCATTTAGGTCTTCAAAGAATTGCTTTGTACTTTGGTTTGCAAGCAGTATTAAAGGAAAACATGCAGCACATTAATTGAAGAACTGAGGGTGCTTTTAACTACTCTTTTTGAAAGTGCTGATTTTGCATATAATGAGAAGTTCCTGGAATTCGGGTCACCCTGCACTGGCAACAAAGAGGGTCTTGCTTATGAGCCACAGTTCTGCTGGTAGTAGATACTCCTGACAGGGGCTCAGTTTTATATGCCAAAATAAAATAAATGAAATGGGCACTCAGATTTACTTGAGGTAGTAAGAAGCCAACCGTGCTTTAATGCTGGAGCATTTCTTGGTAAAGAAACACATTGTTTAGGTTCCAAAACCTCAACCTGTGGACCAAATATTGCTTGGAGTGGAGAGGCTCTTGTGCCCAGTTGAGGTGATTTGTAGTTGTCCACAAGGCAAGCCTGGAGCTAAATGTGCAGCCTGATCCTCCCCAGACGTTGCAGGGTCAGCATCCAGCTGAGATCCTCGTGTCCACCTCTGCAACACTGACAATGGCAGCACCTCTGCCAGGGCACCAACTGCAGCCAAGCCCATCCCGGTGTGATAAATGCCCCTTTGCAGTAGGAATGAGGTGCCAGCTGAAGAATGGATGCAGCCAGGGCCCCTCGTCCCCCCCCAGTGCCCTCCTGTCCTCTCCCGCTCGCTACCCGTGCGCTAATCTTCCTCTTGTCTTGTCTTCTCACTTGTCTTGCAGTCGCTGTGAGCGCTTGCCTTGTAATGAGAATAAGGAGTGCCAGAGCCTGCCCCTGAGAATAACCTACTATCACCTCTCTTTTCCCACCAACATCCAAGTACCCACCGACATTTTCCGCATGGGCCCTTCCAATGCTGTCCCTGGGGATAAAATTCGGCTGTCCATCATCAGCGGGAACCACGAGGGGTTTTTCACCACAAAAAAAGTGAACAACCACAGTGGCCTTGTGGTCATGCAGCGTCAAATCACAGAGCCCAGAGACCTTCACCTGACAATCCAAATGCAACTTTCCCGCCATGGAACTGTCAACACATTTATTGCCAAACTTTCTATCTTTGTCTCTGCACAGCTTTGATCCCTGAATCACTGTCATCACTGGCTACTCTTTCTCTTCCAAGAGTAGCTTTTTTTGCCACAAGTTTTAATAAAGTTTTAGTTCATCTGTTGCACGCTGCACTTGCATTTTATTTGCCATCATTGTTCCAGTTCTTCACTTTCCCCTGTAACTGAACATCTCAGTTCGGGGAGGTTCTTCTGTGTGATCTGCACCGTTATACAAAGCAGAAACTGGAGTCTAAGAGCTTATTACCTGGAGGTTCTGAGGACTGAAAACCACTGATTTACTTCACACAGTAGTGGAGTTTGTCTCATCTGATGACAAACAGCTGCATCTGTTTAGGTCTGGATTTCCCAAATGAAATAGGTACATAATTTGAGCTGTCTCAGCTGAGTCATCTTTAGAGAATTGCATCACTTAAGGGGCAAACTCTGCATTTTCTGAACATCTGTTAAATTTGGGCCCTTAGGACCCCAGAGGTGCCCACTGTGAAAGTGTGGAGCCAGATTCTGAGGCTGTGCTCTGTTACAGCCCTTGAGCTTGTGCTGATTCCCACCAGGTACAGATCCCAGTTCGAGCTTTTAAGGATGGTACAAAAGAGAATCTCCTCTAAACAAGATTTGTTTTAGAGATCTTTCATCTTGCTTCCTGTGGACTTTCCACTGAATGGAAGAACTACTGACAGGAGAACAGCAGTGAACTTCTAACAGCATTCAGCTGACAGCAGAGAGCTCCTTTCTCTTTCACAGCTGTATCCTGAGATGTTCCTGTCTACAGGAACATTTTAAAAAGGGTTGTCTCATAACACTTTTATCTCTCCAGCTTCCATATCAAAGCTGATAAATTTTGAATAGTGAAGACTTTACCCACTACCACCATCAAATCAAACCTTAGGAGCCTTGAAAGGTCAGACAGAATTCCAACATCGAAATCTTTCTTCCTTTTTTTTGACTTTCTTCCTTTACTTCTATGCAGTCAAGGGCAAAGTAGACAATACAACTGGAATTTCTTTGGAATTCTTTTGTTTTCTGAGCTGGAAGAGGATTCGTTTTACTCTCTGGTCCTTGTGTTGATAAATAGAAGTACAAGCTCAGTCCCAGAGGTGTGATCCAAAGCGAGGGTTTTACACCACCCTGGGCTCAGATCTCCCTGCTGCCTGGCACACAGGGAGAACAGTCAGTCCTAGAAGAGCAGGGAATAATCCATGTGGCTGCACATACAGAAAATATACTTCACTCTGTACATCCTGACAGCACAGGGTACGAGGGGGGAAACAGAACTTTCTGAAGGAAGATGCCAAGCCTTAACCACCCAAGCACAAGGAATTACTCCCTGAGCTGTGGGCTCCCAGGCTCGTCACCAGCCAGGGCCTGGATTGGGGCGTGATCACAGCACTGTGCCAGAGCACCACATATCCCCTGAGGCACAGTCTAGCCCAGCTGGCTGGCAGGAGCACCAGTCTCCTGAGGAATGCCAGTGTTTAATAAGCCTGTTGACACACACTTCCAAAGCTGCCACAAGTTGCCAGTGGGGATGGAGTCCCAGGTTTAAATACTGAAAGCACAAGCCCGTGCTGCCTGAGCTAATGGGGTTCATTACCACCACAGAAGATGCTTGTATGTAAATGCCCTCTGGCTACCAGTTCATTATGAGGCCATAATTAAGTAGGATAAAGATTCAAAAATAAACTTCATTTTCACAAGCATTAATATATATTTCTTTGGCAGGAAAGGAAGGGGGTGTGAGAATTTGGCCTTCAGTATTGTAAAATGCTGCCATATTAATTGCATTCTGCAGGGAATGGAAGAACAGGGAGCTCACATCCTCCTGTGTTGGATGCTTTAATGCTGCAGTGTCACTGGGACTTCCAGGAGCACATATGGAATTATGTAGTGCCATTTATGTGCCTGGTCCTTTCCAGACGAAAATGAAATCACAGCTCCTGGTCCAAAGAACTTATTGATTGAATCCAACAGAGAATATGGAAAGGACTGATACCAGGACCCAAGCAGAAAGAAAAAATTATACTCAGGAAATAATCAGAGCAACTGAGCTGTTTTTTAACTTTTTTCTCTTTTAAATGAAATAGGTGTAGAGGAAGGAGCAGTTCCAAAGCTGCAAGTTGTCTTAGAGGGGGAAAACCTGAAGAAAAGGTTCGGATAAAAAAAGTTCTCAGCACGTAGGAAGAAACTTTTGTCAGTCACGGGTCCCAGGGCAGAACATAAGCAAAAAAGGAAAACCTCAGCTATCAGAAGATCAAATGCAAAGATGATGTGCAAGGATAAAATTACAAAGTATTTTGAGATCAGAGCACATCATTAATAGCAAATATCAGGAAGGAGCAAAGGCAGGCCAATGATGAATGCCTCAGACACTCCCTCCACAATGGTTTTTGCATTATTCTTTCTATTATCTAAATACAGCTATGGAAATTTAGGATGCTCTGTGTATTCTAACAGTACTTCATTAGTAATAATATCCCAAAATAAGTTATGCAAGCTGCTGGTTATTTGTGTCCCTAAAACCTTTAGATGATGCTATAGTTATTATTTATGTGTTGAAGAAAAAGAGAAGAACTTTTAAAGAACTTTTCTGGAATTTGTGAACATGTTACTGGAAGTAGAACTAGTGGGACTTGGCTGTTGTGAGCCCAGCTCAGCAGGATCCTGAGGAAAAATGCAGTGGGTTTACATGTAAATGTTTACTAAACTCTCTGTACACAGGGAGAAGAAGGGGACAGAGGGAAGCAAACATGAATGATGTTTATTTTGCATCAATTTTATATGTTACATGTTTTGAAATAGACTATTTTACACTGGACCTCGACTGTAATTTAGCTGATCCTTATTTCACAGCCACGAGGATCAGCCAGCTGGAAGTCCCTTCTTAATTTGACAGCCGAGGTTTAAAATAAGGGAATTGCATATGTTTTTGTAGGTCAGAGTGTTATGTCTGTATATCCAAAATTATTTTATCCAAAAATGTCCAGCAGGAGGCATTTCAAAAGAAAGGCCTGTTCTGTTCCCTGTGGAGTGTCTGGGAACTGACAAAATTTTGTACCCAGGTAAAGGTGGGAACTAAAGGGTCTCTTCTGGCCTGGGTGTCCTGGCCAGTCTCAAAACACCAAGTCCAGGGTGTGAACCCCAGACTCGGCTGGTGTTTATTAACCCAGCTCTGTCGCCTCCCTGTGGGCTGTGCAGTTCATTTCTGTTGAAGCAAAACATTGATATTGGTTCATGTTTTCTCTTCATTTTAACTTCATGAAGTATCAGCGTGTTTGCCTTTGTTTTCTTTGATGAGCAAATGTGGGGAGCATGTAATGAGAACTTACTGATGTACTGGCTGTTAACAGAGCCATAAAGTCCCTTTGAACATCTAAAAAAGATGGTTTGTAGGTGTGGATTTGGGTAAGACTTTTGAAAAGAGCAAGAACCATTCATTTCTAGAGGTATCTGACAAAGTACAACTTCCATTTTTGTTTTCCTTTTAGTCAGTGAATTTTTCTCCCTTTTAATCTTTTAATTCCCCCCCCCTACACTGCAGCCCTTTCTTTTTTCCACTTGGAAATATGAAGAAATGGGCAGGTCAAAGTTGAGATCATTTGTGGGGCTTAGTCACATTTTAAGTCCCAGCACAGCCCTTTCATCTCTCATGAGCACAGAGTGGGCATTGTGTGAAGTTCTTGAACTGTAAGTGACTTTAAATTCACTCTGGTGGACAAGGGTGAGAAGAAGTCATTTAACTTTTAATAGACTTTCAAGGCCGAATGAGCAGCTGGTCGAGATGGAATATATGAAATGACCCTTACCATTTCCCCAAACTCAGAATTCAATCTCTGAGGTTTCATATAATGTGGTTAACTTTTTTCCTCCCCTGGTTTCCATTCCTCTCTGTTTCCTCAGTTTGGATGGAAAGGGAGGGTGTGAAAAAAAGATTTGAGAGAGGCTTTTCTGGCCCTTGCTGCACTGAAAATCATGGAAGAAAGTTGGCCCTTCACATATATCCTGCCAGATTTCTAGAGTGGAAATGATGGTTTCTGCTTTACATGACTGAGTGAAAAAGGCTTGTGCAAAGTAAGTGCAGCTCCACTGAAAGTGGTGACACCAGGCCAGCTGAGGGCCTGGGTCTCGTTGTTTGGTCCTGTTTGTCCTTGGAAAGACACTTTACATGGTGTCTTCTGCACTCCAGTTCTCCCTGTTTCACGTGCCTGGCTTGAAGAGCTGGGTGTGAGGGAGTTTTGGCTGCCACCCTGAGCCAAGCCAAATTTTTCAGTGGTCCTGAAGTTCTGATGAGCTGCGTTTGTCTGAGTTTTCAGGGTGTGGGATGAACACCTACATCAATCACAGTTTCTAGCTCCCTAGACTGCATACCACAAAGTAATTAATCTTCAGGATATATATGCATCTCTTTTTGGTTTGTCTCAGTGTGAGGCTGGAGAAGACAGACACCATCCGCTGCATCAAGTCCTGCCGGCCAAACGATGTCAACTGTGTGCTGGATCCAGTCCACACCATCTCCCACACTGTCATTTCACTGCCCACCTTCAGGGAGTTTACAAGACCTGAAGGTAAGTGGTTTGTTCCTTCTTCCATTTAATAGACTGCAACGTACAAAACCTCCACTGGAAAGCCTTGCCTACAGCCAGGCTGGCTACCAGTGCAGTGAGATGTTTGCACAACTCCAAATTACAGTGTAGTGTTCATTTAATTAAGACCTTCCATAGCCAGGAGTTTTAATTTTATGGAGGAAAGAAAGTCATTCCGAGCTCTAACTTCCCAGGCTAAGGAAATACTGACTCTGAATTCCCATGTACCACATTTACTCACACGATGCCAAGTGCCCCATGACTTTTTTCTTCCCTTGTTTGCAGATTCTGCCACAAGAAAAAGGTATTTGGTATATTCCTCCTGTCTGTGACCTGTTTTTTGCTGTTGACAGGTGGCTTGTTCCAAGAATAAAGCCCTTACCTACATGCAAACATTAATCACAAAATACATTAGATTGGACATGATTGGCTGATTTTTGACCTGTGAACAAACAAGGGGTTGTTTTTCAAAATACAGAGTAAAGGAAGGGAAATTTCAAGGACTGGACAGAAAGTTTTCAAGACAGGATTTTCCAAAAGCCCCCAAGTGAGTGGCTGTCCCCTGCAGCACCTGTGAGTTTCCAAGCCGTGCAGTTTCGTAAGGATCACACTCACTTTTCTTAGTTCACATATAAACTTACAGATTGGGAGTGAATTTTTGCTCCTTGGCATTTGTAGGGATGTTCTGGTCAGTGGGGGCTGTGCACACCCCCAGAGGGGGATGAGTGCTGCAGCCCTGCTGCTCTGCAGGGCAAGCCCCTCACTGAGTGGCACAGGCACAGAGAGAAGGGCATGGAGGAAAGGAAGACTATTTTGGAGGGGTTTGTAAAAGTCCTAAACTCCTGTTTCTGATGCAGCCAAAGTCTCAGCCTTGCTGTCTCAGAAAGTTGTCCTAATGAAAACCAGAGCTGGTTCTTCCCCTCTGCATCAGGCAGGGGTGGGGAAGGAGACATCCCAGTCCTCTTCTGTAGAGGAACAATTTAAGCAGCAATCCCTTGGCCGTGTAGAGCTCCTGTAGGTTGTGTCAGGCCTGTTTCAGGCCTTGGCTGACCCTGCTTCCCAGGGAATCGGGGAATGCCCCATGGCCACTTCTGCTCCCATACAAAGCCCTTTGGCTTCACCAGGTGTACTGGCAGCAGAGCGAAGGGTTTGGCCCAGGATGCTTCCCAAACTGTTCCCTCACTAGTCCAGCCTCGTGGTTTAATAGAAAGAGATGAGACCCAGCAATCTGAGAGCACTACCAAAGCCCAGGAGACATAAACTGGAATTCAGTGCATGGCCTCGGCTGTGTTCTTACAACCTCAAAGTTTAGTTTCCTCTTCTCCAGAGTGGGGATAGTAATGAGAGTAACAATACTTACCTCCCTCTCAAGGGGCTTAAAGATAGTCTCCCTTTTATTTTTAAACCTAAACCCCTCCTCCAGTACTCCAAAGGACTCTAAATTGCAATGTCAGTACTTAGCCTGAGGGGATCAGAGTGATCTGTTTGGCTCCCTCCAGTGCCCACCCTTTGGATCCTCCGTGTTCTCCTCTTGGGGTACGCGCTGCAAAGCAGAGTGGTTTCTAAGAGTGGTCTTTCTGGACTCTAACAGTAGGAGTGTTTTGGCTTCAGGGCTTCTTGGAGGAGACAATAAATCTATCCAAACCCTCCCTTCCCCCAGATCTTCTTTCTTTCCATTTTAAAGGACAGATTGGGAGTGGTGAGGGGAGCTTTGAGGACAAGTCATTTTGGATCAAATTCTGTCAGATTCTTCAGTGGTGTTTTCAAATGGTTGTCAGGACACTCTGTGATACTGTTTATTTGCAGAGATCATTTTCCTTCGTGCTGTCACACCCACGTATCCGGCCAACCAGGCAGATATCATATTTGACATTACAGAGGGAAATTTGAGAGATTCCTTTGACATCATCAAGCGTTACATGGATGGTATGACAGTGGGTGAGTAGAGTGTTTTCTGCTTACTTTCTTCACTCAACAATACTTTAGGGCAAGGTCAAAGAAATTAACTCAAGTAATTAATCCCCACCTTGATTTTCAAGCCTGTATTGATACAATATTCTCCAGTCCAGTATGTGTAATTTGAACTTATATCACAGATAATTTTTTAATCAAAATACCAGAGACCTAAACTTTAATTTGAGAAGTATTTTAACTTTTTGCAGAACTGGCTGTAATTACGAATGCAGATTGCTTAGTTTTAAAATGATGAGGTTTGCCCGTTATAATCAAACCAAATATAAAATATGTAGTGTGTCAGCAAAGAGACTGTAAATTTAATTAACTGATCTTTATTGTTGAAACAGCATTGCACCAATTTTTGGATATTAATCAAACTTTTAAAGCAGGACTGACTCACTGAAATTGTTACCTGCTTTAATATTTAATGACAGGCCAGTTCAGTTTTAAATAAACACTTCTGTTGAGGGTAACTGTCAAATCCTTTGGTTTAGAAGAACCTTCAGAATGGAAGGGGCACGTGTGATTTCCAGTCTCAGCCTGGCAGGAGGGGCTGTGGCAGGGCTGTACCCCTGTGCCCAGGTCGTGCCCAGCCCTGGCAGAGCAGGAGGGGCTGTGACCCAGCTCGGGGTCCTGCTCTCTGGGGGTCCCTCTCACAGCAGGGCCCTTTGGGGGTTGTTCCCAAGTTCGGGATGGGGCTGTGCAGGTTCTGCTCAGGTTTGTACATGTGCTGCTGGGCTTTCCAGCAGGACGTGTCTGCAGGAAGAGCAAACCCACTGCTGCTGCCATACAGACATCCAGGTTTGGGAAGGAGCCCTTTTCGCTGTGGTCTGAAGGTGGCACTGGTGCATTTCAGAAGCAGGATAGCCCAGCATCGGCTCTGCAAAGGTTTTATGAGCTGTAGATAAAAATCCCAAGTCATTAGGTTTATATTTCTTTCTTTATCAAACAGAAGTAAATGTGAGTGCTGAGAAAGGGAGAGTCTGTTAAAGCAGGATGATAAGATTACAGATTTCAGGTACTGGGGCAGTTCTTTAGTAGAGTATAAATGTTATCAGATCCCACAGGAGTTCCAGTAGTTTGCTTTTCGTGCTGTATGCTTTTTTCTGTCTGAAATAAGAAAGAAGGATGTGTTTGGAAAGTCAACTGGCCAAGGTATTCGCCTGAGGGAAGCATTTCCATTTTGAAGTACAGGACTGTGTGTCAATGGTATTTTACTTGGCAAACTGGATATTTGCCTCACAACATAAGGAGAGAAAGGATATTCTTATACACCAAGTTGAGAGGATAAGATACATGCCCAAGTACATTCCCATCTCTGCAAAAGAATTGGGCAACTCTCTCTTCACCTCAGTTCCCCCATGTGCAACATGGAGATGATAAAACATGCCTATTACTGTCTTAATTAATTCTTGTGTGCAAGAGTCTTAATTAATTCCTCTATGTAAAAGTACTTTGAGATTAATGGATGGAAACTGCAAAGAAAACTGCCTGCAGCAGAATTGGAAAAGGAAAAACAAAACAAACCCCCAGCTGATATTACCTGGAGGGGCAGAGGTTCAGGACAGCACGTTGTATGTGTAAAATTAGGATTGCAAATAATTCTGCCAGCAGCAGTTCTGCTGCTCTCATCATCATGCCATTTTTCTTGTTATTAATAATCAGAATGTTAAGTGTTCCCATAAAAAGTGCTGGGAAGTTTTCAAGACAAATAAATAAGATGGGATCCTAGTCAATGGGAGTTCACAAAGTGAGTCCCTCTTGTAAAGAAAGGCAAGGGTTTGTGTAAGGGTGGAAGAACAGAAAGGGCACAGATGATATCAGAAAGCTTTATTGGTTATCCCACTAAGTTGCAGGAACATGGGGGCTGTGGGGAGGTAACAGAGGAACTCAGCAGAGCCAGTGCCCAACCAGCCCAGTACCAGACAGGTTTACAGGAATCTCTGCAGTTGCAATGTTCCAACTTGCTGCAATCAGCATTTCATACACTTGTGGGAGAGCACACCTGGCCCATCCTGCTGAATGACCACATGTGCCTCTGGAATCCCTGTAGCCTATTTTTTAATATTTTTTTTTCTGCCTGTTTTCTAATGGCTTTTTGCTGCCTTTATGGGAGAGAATACATTTGTTCTGTTAGTAAATCATAGATGCATGGGTAAAGCATGTTTTGTTCAGCTGTAATATTTCAGGAGAAATCATCAGAGTATCTAAGCTATTTTATCTGCTAATGCAAGTTAGATCACCAGGTATCTTCTTCTACAAGACTGATTTCCTTTACAAGAGAAAAGATAGAAAACTTCTACAGGATATTCATCTCTCAGAGAGAGATGAAATTTGTAAGAGTATATGGAAAAAAGCAGTAAAATAGTTACCAGTGTTGCTGAAAGAGCTGAGTGTAATAAATCTTGACTCGAACCAGTGAAGGAATTCAAAGAAAGAAGGGAACACTGGGACAAGAGGGGGAGAAAGGACAGGCCAGTGAAGACTCTCTTGCAGGAAGACCTTACTTAGTAACACAGTTTTTGCTAAGCTTTCACAGACCAGGAGAGAGATGATGCCTTGAGAAGGACCTGCATCTAACCTGTGTTTGTGTGAATGGAAAGCAAGAAGATGCTCTCAGAAGTGTAACAATAAAAAAGTGAAAAGGTACAGTTCTTTTGGGAAGGGTTTAAAGAGTGGGAGAGGCTGTTAGAGATGAAGTTACAGAAGGAAGGTGAGGGCTGCAACCCTGACAGAGGATTGTGGGCTGAAGAGGGTCAAGTCACCAGCTTCAGGCATTATCCCTTTAACCTGAGACAGACATCCAAGGGCATGTTAATGAAGCTGAGAAATACATGAGATGGGATGGACAGTGGCTGATCAGGCTGGTTTGTGCTTTGTTGATGGAGAGAGAGCAGGTGGGGTCGTAGGAGGAGATGAGTGCGAGGGAGCAGGCTGTGAGGAAGGAAAAAGAAGAAAATAGAAACAGAGGAAAGAGCTACCTCAGGGAACATTAGAAAAAGAAAGAGCACAGTCTCCCAAAGGAGGTGTAGGAGGAGCAGTTCCAAAGGCAGGAGAAGGCAGAGACAAGGAAAAAAAACATCAAATGGGAATCAATGATCAGCAGTATCAGACATGGAGGAGCTAAAAGAAGTAAGAACAGACTCCAAAACCAGCTCTGCTGACCTACAGAAAGGATCTTCCATGGGAAGAGGAGGAATGAAAGCCAGACTGCTGGAGTGGCAGCACACAGACTTCATGCAAGCTGGTGAAAGAGAATTGTGGAAAAAATCGCTTCCAGTATTTCTACCCTATTGTATTAAAAGAGATGGTTCGGGAAGTGCTGTAGACTCTCTGTTGCTGGTGTAGTTACAGGCCAAGGTGGCAATGAGTCCAAAGGATACTGTTAACAACTTCACCTACCAGCATGGGTGGGAGAAAAACAGAAGTGCAGAATTATCCAGCTTTGGGGGTTTTTCAAAGCTTTTATAGACTTTTCACTGCATTCCTCCTTTAACCAGCTGTCAGTGAAAAATGAAGAATGCATTTTCAACCTGTACAAAAATGTCCTATCAGTGCCTAAGGTGTTATCAGATGCTATAAAACACTTTCCCCTTCAGCTGTGCATACATTTCCTTATAACAGTAATCCCACTTTGTCGTCTGGTAAACTTCAGTAAGGTTTCAAAATTTCATAATACAACTAAAAGGAGTTTTGATAGGCTGAAATCTTCCGTATTGCATTTGGTATCAACCTAAGATATATATTCTTGCCTATGAAGCAGAATGGTGCTGTTCTTCTGGAAAACACTCGGAGCCAATACAGCTGTAAAATGTCACCATAGAGGTTTGCAGGGGGTTGTGCTGGTGCTTGAATACGCTGATATCTGCACTGATTTGTACTACTGCTCTCCCTTGGTATCTGCAAGCATTTCACTGCTGTCTCTGTCCTGACTTTGCAGCCTGTTTTACACGGGTGACAGTCCATTGTGTCACCTTTGAACCATCACAGAAAGTGTCTCAACTGCTGATAGCAGAGCACTGGACTTAGCAGCAGTCTGATTTCTATGGTGGTATCATGACTGTTTAGTGTGCTCCAGAGGCTGGGAAGAGACTTGTAAAGAATGGCCAAGAAGGTAAACAAAACTAGACACTGTAGGAAAGTGTGCTTGTGAGATCCATACTGGTTGGGGGGCAGGAGAAGGAGACTGGTGCTTTGTTTGTCTCTGAAACCTGTCCTAAGCACAGGGGCAGTAGTTCTGTATCTCATAATTAGTTTGGTCATTTGCAGAGTGGCAAAATCTTTTCACAATTTGCATGGCCTGACATTAAATTCCATTACTGGACTGAAGAATATTTGGTTCTGAGCTTTTTCTCTGGACCAGCTCGCCGGGAAGTGCCCTCACGTTCCCCTCTGCTTGAGCCTCCTCTGCTGCTCCAGACTCTCTAGCTTTGGGCCAGAGGCTGGCTGGCTCCTGCCATGCTTGTGTTATGGTGTTTAGCACAAGGAGATTCCTGGGCTGCTCTGGGCTTCCTGGCACAGCTGTGACACTGAAAGCAGCAGTTCATCTCCAGCTGAACTTCTGTGAGACCGGGGAGGCACAGGCAGAGCCAGGGTGCCCAGGAGAGCTCTGCTGTCTGCAGGGCAAGGAGAGATAATGCACATTAGCTCCTGTGTGGATACACCTGCCAGGCAATAAGCAGCAACAGGAACCTTTTGTCGTGACTGCAGTGCCAGTAGCATGAGATGACAGTGGTGTTTGGCTGAACAAAACCAGTGCTGGCCAGGCATTCCCAGCGAGTTCACAGAGCAGGACACAATTCAGCAGGGTTTTCAACAGGCTCTTGTGGCCACACATTTAAAAAGACACAGTCCCTTTAGTATCTTTGTTCTGGTTTCATCTCTAGGCTTGCCCCTTTCACAGAGGACCCCTCAGCAAAGAATATCTTGTGAGTTTTTCTCTATGCCAGGTTGCCCCGCAGAAATGAGTAGCTGTGCATTTG